GTTAATTTGTCTGTGTTTCAGGAAAGTTGAGACCGTTGTGCCCGACCAGTCTGTCAGCATCCCATTGGGGGGCTCCTTCACTGAGCAGTCCTACTGGATCAGAGGGGGGTTTGAGTGACTTAGGGAAACACACCAACAGCGTAAGGGAGACCCCTCAGCAGGTCTTCCCCTTTACCCATTGTGTTACCTGCTGCTGCCGACTGGTAGCGTCCGCCAAGGATTCACGCTAACAGTTTATGGAATAACGCTCTTTATTAATATAAATTGTGACAGGTTAAGGTTCGAAGATTGTTGGTGATAGTGTCTGACTGCAAAAATATATTTGAAGGAATATACAGACAAGCTCTAATCCCCAATAAAATGTTCAGCATGCATAGAGTATGATTCTTATCCAATAGGCATCTCTATGGGGGAGAAGACAGGTTCAGCTTATCAACTGATCCCAGCAGCTACGATGGAGCCTTCCCTAACTTTTCCCCATTCTCGACTTATTTTTATACTATTTCTGTGTGTTTAGGTGGAGCTTGAGTGACTCTAGTCATGCATACCTTTGTTACTGACTGGTGTAAAATTCTCTTGCTTTGCTTTTAAAGATACAGTCAAGAAGAATATAGAGCACATGCCCAGTGAGGGATGGTTGCACTTTGGAGGTGGGTAACTTTGGGATGGAGGTGTGCGTTAATATTATTATTAGGCTTTAATGAAGCAAGTTCATCTAAGGAGAGTGATTTCGCCACAGTTGCTGGCTCAGCAGTAAGACATCTTCCCCTGTCTCCCTTGGTTGACAGGTGGTATGCTGTTTATCAGCTGCAAAGTACCATCGAGTTCCCTTCCCTGCAAGGATTTCTGCAGAGCCTGGCCTTCGCTCCGCTCCACCCTCCATTCCATCCCTCTTAGCGGGTGTGTTGTGTGCGTGTGTGTGGGGAATCATCACGGAATAGGTTCCAAGTCATGCCAACTGCATTCCACCCAGGGAGCAGCAACTGTGATTTACCCTATAATTCCCGTACTGTTATAACTCCTGTGAGGATGCTAATATAACTCCTAAGTTTCCTCTAATTGTATCCCCAGTTACCGGTCCACAGGGTAACCGGTCATTTTCCCGCACCGTGCTTTGCACTGGTAGCTCGAAAGGTGTTGATGAAACGCCAGTGTTTTGGCTACTGCTGAGCAATGTTGGCACAGCATCAGTGCTGTCTCTCCAACATTCTGCCCCAGCATCAGTAGGCTGGGGGTGGGCAAGATCCTGGGAGGAGACACAACCAGGTCAGCTGACCCAAACTGGCCAGAGGGATATTCCATACCATATGACATCAGCCCAGAAATAAAAGCTAGGCAAAGGAGGAGGAAAGGGGGGCATTTCTTATTTACAGTGTTTACCTTCCAGAGAAACTGCTACGTGTGCGGAAGCCCTGCTTCCCGGGAAGTGGCTAGGCGGTGCTTGCTGATCAAAACTAGGCAATAAGGTGCTTTTTTTTCCCCTCTCCTTGTTCATGCACAAACTTTCACTTTTGCTTTCGTAAACTGCCTTATCTCAATCTGCAAGTTGTTTTTCATCTCTCCCGTCCAGCTGGGAAGGGGAAGCGACAGAGTTGTTTGCTGAACACCTGGCGTCTAGCCAAGATAAACCCACACCAGTCCTTTTTGGTTCCTAAAGTGAGCTGAGACAATGGCAGTTATATATCTTGCATGGTATAGTAATAGCAGTTACTGAGTAGCAAGTTCCTGTGCGGGACATGGAGTTTGTCAGGTACGCTGCTTATCTCTTTGTTTTGTTCAGTTTGGGAACACGTTAATACAAACAGTGGCTCTGTGCTTTGCTGTGACACTGATGGCTTTGTTGTGCTGGAGGAGCTATTTTCTGGGGACAATGCGGGAATCCCTCTCCCTATCTGGGATTGATGTGTATCGTTTTAGAATGCAGGCTCCCGTGTTCCTTGTTCCCCCTCATGTAAGCTGTTGAATACTATTTAATACTATTAACTAATACTGTTGGCGTACTATGGGGTTTGTGGAATCTGGTGTCATCCTGCTGTAAGACAAAACAAACTGTAGGTGAGGAGATATTGAAATGTGCCCTGAAGCGGCTGGTCCCTGGATGTCAGTGTGTGTGGTAGGATTTGGGCAGGCTCCTAGAGTGGTTATCACCTCCCCTTGCCTGGGACTTTACACCTAAACAGGCAATGAGCCCTGGCAAACTGACGCGTCACCTGATAGAAGGGTGCCTTACCTACCCCGATGAAACCCAGCAGCTTCTCGCCCTGTACAGGGGCCTGGCCTATGCCTGTTGAGCCACAGTTCAGTACTGTCAGAGGAGTGTGGCTGAGGCAGGGACCCGAAGTGCATTGGAGGACACTATGGCTGAGATAGGGACCCAAACAACAACGACTACAGTAATTGCCCCCCAGAAGTGTCAAAGAAAAGGGGAATAAGGAGAGCCAAGGAGCGATCAGCAAGACTCACTCACCTTTTTAGTAGTCCCACGTGGCCAGTGCAAAAGTCTGATGGAGGTTGGAGGTTAACAGTAGACCATCGTGGCCTGAATGAAGTAACGCCCCCACTGAGTGCTCCTGTACCGCACATGTTAGAGCTCCAATGTGAACTGGAGTCAAAAGCAGCCAGGTGTTGTGCTGCACTTGGCATTGTCAATGCATTTTTCTCAATTCCTTTGGCAGCAGAGTGCAGACCACAGTTTGCTTTCATGTGGTGAGGTGTTCAATACACCAGGAATCGACTGGACTGCCCCGGGGGTGGAAACACAGCCCTACCATCTCTCATGGACTGATCCAAAGCGTACTGGAAATGGGTGATGCCCCCGAACGCCTGCAATGCGTTCACGACATCATTGTGTGGGGGCAGTGAGGCAGAAGAAGTGTTTGAGAAGGGAAAAAGAATAGTTCAGAAAGTTCTGGAAGCTGGGTTTGCCATAAAGAAAAGCAAGGTCAAGGGACCTGTACGGGACATCCAGTTCTTGGGCGTCAAATGGCAGGATGGCCGCCGTCATGTGCCTATGGATGTGGTTAAGAAGATAGCAACTATGTCTTCACCAGCTAAGAAGATGGAAACACCGGCTTTCGTAGGCCGCCCGGGGTTTTGGAGAATGCCTATTCCAGGTTATACTCAGCTTGTGAGGCCCCTGTATCGAGTGACCCGGAAGAAGAACCATTCTGAATGGGGCCTTGAGCAACAACAGGCCTTTGAGCAGATCAAAGAGGAAATAGCTTGGGCGGTAGCTCTTGAGCCCGTTCAGACTGGACCAACCCTGCAAAATATACTCTACACCGCAGCTGGGTAGCATGGTCTCACTTGGAGCCTGTGGCAAAGAACATCAAGAGAAACCCGAGGTTGACCATTAGGGTTTTGGAGCTGGGGTTACTGAGGATCAGAAGGCCCACTACACTCCAGCTGAAAAAGAAATATTAGCAGTGTATGAGAGGGTTTGAGCATCCTCAAATGTTTTTGGGAAGGACGCCCATCTCTTCTTGGCACTGCAATTTCCTGTGCTACACTAGATGTTGAAAGGAAGTGTCCCTTTGACACATTGTGCAAACAGTGCTACTTGGAGTAAGTGGGTGGGTAGCACTGATCACACAACGAGTTTGACTGGGGAAACCCAATTGCCCGAGAATCCATGGAGAAAGGCAGAGGTTTTGGAGAATTTCTTTGAAAAGTCACTTGTGCTCAAGAAGCAGCACCATATAATGAGTTATCAGAAGATGAAAGAGGCCATGCTGTCTTTACTGATGGATCCTGCCTCGTGGTAGAAACCATCAGAGGTGGAAAGCTGCTGTGTGGAGTCCCACATAACGAGTCGTTGAGGTTGCTGAAGGAGAAGAGAAGTGGCCTGTACTGTGTCTCTATAGTGACTCCTGGATGGTGGCTAATGCCCTATGAGGGTGGCTACAGCAATGGAAGAAGACCAATTGGCAATGCAAGGGTAAACCCATTTGGGCTGCTGCGTTGTGGCAGGACATGACTGCACGGATAGAAATCATGTCTCTGAAGGAATGTCACGTAGATGTTTACGCGCCCAAATGCCATGCCACTGAGGAACGTCGCAAGGATGAACAGCTAGATAAGGCTGCCAAAATGGAAATAGCTCAGGTAGACTTAGACTGGGAGCAGAAGTGTGAACTATTTACAGCCCGATGGGCCCATGAAACATCAGGACATCTAGGAAAAGATGCAACCTACAGATGAGCTTGTGATCGAGGGGTGGATCTGATCACAGAGGCTATCACACAGGTCACCCATGAATGTGAAACGTGTGCTGCAATCAAGTGAGCCACACGAGTACAATCTCCTTGGAATAGATGGCCAAGCTGGATTTTAAAGATGGTGAGGCCTGGCAAATTGACTATATTGGACCACTGCCATGGACACACCAAGGCAAGAGCTTACATACTCATCATGGTAGAGGCAACTACTGGTTGGCTGGAAAAATACCCTCTAAGCCATGCTATTGCTTGAAACACCATCTTAGGCCTTGAGGGACACATTTTGTGGTGTCATGGTACCCCAGAAAGAATGGAATCAATGAGGCTTGTTTTTGAAATAACCTCCTAAACTCTTGGGCAAAGAAACATGTGGATATATCACATCCCTTATCACCCACAAGCCTCTGGAAAGATTGAGAGGTATGATGGACTGTCAAGAGGGTTGGGCAATCGGGCATGGAAGCATTGGGAGGCAAATGTAGCAGAAGCCACTTGGCTGGTTAACACCAGAAGATCTGCTAACCGCGCTGGTCCTGCCCAAACAAAACCACTACATACTGTGGGAGGAGATAAGGTCCCCGTACTACACACAGGGAAGTGGCTAAGGAGGTCGGTGTGGAATTCTCCTCCCATGGGAAAAGGCAAACCTATTAATGGGATTGTCTTTGCTCAGGGACCTGGGTGTACTTGGTGGGCAATGCAGAAGGACGGGGAGACCTGGTGTGTGCCTCAAGGAGATTTAACCTTGGGGGGAAAATAATGAGTGTAAATTGTATGTTGCAGGGAGTAAAGTAGCAGGAGTGACGTGAACCGACGATGAGTGAATTTTACGAGCGGCGAGGAGAGTGCGACGATAGCCCAGGCAGGGCCGGTGTCGGTGCCGAACGATCGTGTGTGTCGCTTCTGTCCCGAGCACCCATCTTGATGGAATGGAGCCCAAGTCACGGCCTGTTTTTAAACATCCGGAAGGGTGGAGGAAACCCATGGAATGGGAAACTAATGTCTATCTTTGAAAGGAAGTGGGACGGTAGTTAATGAAAATGTATACGTGTGTTGGGCATAAAGATGGTTTAAGCATGGAGTTTAAGTTGTAAGCGTTGGTAAGAAGGGATTTCAGTCATGACAAATAAATACAACGGAATAATTAGAAGACAGATATATATATATATATATATCTATAATTCTGTGGCATCTGAGTACGATGATGCAAATGGTGTGAAGTAAGGGGTGGAGATTGTATTGGGTGTGGCTGAGATGGAGTTAGTTTTCCGCATAGCAGCCATCAGTGCCATGCTTTGCATTGGTCACTAGAAAGGTGTTGATAACACGCCAGTGTTTTGGGTACTGCTGGGCAGTGTTGGCACAGCATCAGCGCTGTCTCTCCAACATTCTGTCCCTCATCAGTAGGCTGGGGGTGGGCAAGATCCTGGGAGGAGACACCACTAGACCAGGTGACCCAAACTGGCCAGAGGGCTATGCTGTACCATATGACTTCAGCTCAGAAATAAAAGCTAAGTTAAGGAGGGGGAAGGGGGCACATTCGTTATTTACAACGTTTGCCTTTCGGAGCAACCCTTACGCGTGCTGAAGCCCTGCTTCTTGGAAAGTGGTCGGACAGTGCTTGCTGATGGGAACTAGAGGATATAATTATTTGGTTTTCCTGTTTGCTTTTTTGTGCGAAAACTTTCTCTTTTCCTTTAGTAAACTGCCTTATCTCACCCTGTGAGTTGTTTTCCATCTTATTTTCTCTCTGTGTCAAGCTGAGAAGGGGGAGTGATAGAGTGGCTCTGTGGGCACCTGGCATCCAGCCAAGGTCAACCCACCAGCAATGCTTTTGATGCCGTCCAGGTGTTGTAGGATAAGGGCACTGAATTGGCTGCGGAGCTGGTGCTTGCAACAGCGTTCTGGGTTCGATGAGCATGGGGCCCTGTTTTTGGATCAGCAACTGCTTGGGAGAGCGGAGCTCCACCTCACTAAGCGGAGTAAAGGTATTTTTGCCAGTAGGACAGCTGACCTCATTTGGAGGGCTTTAAACTAAAAGCGAGGTGTCGCGGCAGGGCGTCCCCGAACTGGTAATAATTAGCATTGACTCCATGATTCACAGAAGGCTGATCAATCTCTTTATTTTATATATATATAATTATTAGGAAACCCGTTGCTTTTATAGACAGTTACGATACACCTGGACCTAATTGGTCCTCCAATCCAAACACCATCACCATTGGCTAATTAAGAAACCACCCTTTGGTAAACAAATCTCCATAACACATTCCACATGTTCACAACAACAGGTGCAGCAAGTGAAGATAAGAATTGTTCCTCATTCTTTTCTCTGATCTTCTCACAGCCTTCCTCAGAAAGGCCTGGGAAAGTTATGTGTTGCTCTCTGTGGCCAGAGAGCTGCTGCCACAGTGAGGGTGCGAGGAGGGAGAGGCAGAGACTAATCAGCAGCCCTGTGCGGGAGTGATGGACAGGGTCAATGAACAAAGGGCAGGGCAAGAGGTCCAGTCCCTGGAAGTCCCCCTTAGAACCCGAAGGCAGCGGTGGATGTCATAGCTGCAAGTGTGCCCAGCAGAAAGATCTCCTTGGACGAGTAAGTTTTAAAGGAGGAGATTGACAGGAAGCAGGGAATCCAGGTACACGGACAGGAGTTCAATGCCAGGTATTGTACGCTGTCCCAGGCTGAGCGACGGCCTGCCTTCAGAGTGCACAAAAGGAAGGTAAGCCAGAATGTAACCTCGGGGTGACTGACACAAGTGACTCCTGAGATGAAGGAGACTGGATGCATTTCTGTGCTCAGGGTAGAAGGAAGAACCCTCCCCCATCTCCTGAAGTGCCCCTACATAACAGACAGTATGCTCCTGGTTTGGAGACTGAAGAGCACATGAGTAATGGACAGGAGCCAGGACAAAGGCAACCATGCAAAGCTGACCTAACCACCTGCCCACGTTAGAACCAGTGCGACCAGAGAAGCACATAAAGGTATTAGTAACTGGAGATTTCCTCCCGAGAAACACCGAGACACCCATTTCCCACCCAGACGATTTCTCTAGAGAGCTCTGCTGCCTACCAGGAGCTCGCATTCATGGTGGCACTGAGAGGCTGCTGAGGCTGGTGAACCCTACAGATTATCACCTCTCCTACTCTTCTCTGTAGCGTCAGATAAGGCAACTTAGAACCCCCCCAGGAGTCTATTATGTCTGTAGGAGCGATGCTAAAAGGATGGGGAGCACAGGTGATGGTCGCCTCTATTGGTGTCCGGTCTGAGGAAGGGGTCCAGGAAGGAGGAGACAGACTGAACAGCTGAATGCCGGGCTGCGTAGCTGGTGCCATACTCAAGGTTTTGGCTTCTATGATCATGGATCTACCTTTAAGAAGCCAGGTCTGTTGGGAGCTGATGGGATTCACGCGACCAAGCGGGGCAAGATGGTCTTTGCCAGTAAGCCGGTTAGACTTACAAGGAGGGCTTTAAAGGTGACTCGGCGGGGAAAGACGATGGAGTTTTGAGCAACAGAGAAGAGCCAGGGGCTGGTGATGTGTTGGGAAACAAGAGGGGAATACTTGAGAAATGCTGCAAAGGAATTGGGGCTTGATCCTTGTCCAAAAAAGTGACGCAGTCAACAGCCCAGCGGAAGTGCCTCTGTACCAATGCACGCATTATGCATGAGAAAGAGGAGCTGGAAACCACTGTGCAGCCGGAAAGCTAACAATGTAATCACCATAGTAGAAATGTGCTGGGACAACTCAAATGACTGGAGCTCTGCAATCAATGGCTATAAACTGGTCAGAAGGAAGGAGGGGCGGAGGTGGCCCTCTATGTAAACCAAAAATGAGAGGGATTTCCTGTACAGAGCTGTCTTTGAAAGACAGTGATGAACAGGTTGAGAGCTTATGGGTGAAAATTAGAGGCCAAGCTGTTGCGTTAGGAGTAAGAAAGAGTGCAGAAAATAAAGCCCCTTGCGTTCCAGCTGGTCCTGAGAGATCAGAGGGACTGGGTGAGGTTAGGCTTAATTTCCGATTACAACCAATTCAGCACTGTAAGTCTGGTTGCGTTCTCTAAGAACCTTTGCGAGCACAGATTCAGGAACAGAGTGGTTTTCTGAAGTTACAGAAATGGAGATTTGGAACTGCCATTGAGAAATGCACTAGCTGTGATAGACCTCTAATAACATTGTGCTAACCCATGCAATACTAATAATAGCAATGGCATGCAGAAGCTTCCCAAGAGGGCGGCCCCACTTGGGAGGAGGAGAAGAGAAGAGAAGAGACTGGCAACTGTCCCCGACATCTTTTGGGAATTCCTGCTACCTAGCTGAAATTTCTAGCCTCCTTATATACAGCCCAATCTTCTCCTCCTTACATTACATATAGCGTGATCTAAGCGGAGAGCTGAGTGATAGATCATCTATGTGGTCACATGTACTTCAGTAAGCTTATTAGCATATGCACGAGTGTGCGTTTTAATACTTAAATGACCCTTAATCAGGCAAAGGTTACATTTTTGGCCTTGGTGTCCTTCAAAGTTCCGCTCTTAAGACTTCTTTCCATTTCATGCCGTTCATCAGAGCCAAAAGAGGGCTATCCTAGCTGCCCATGAACTCTTCCTTCGGCCATATTGTCCTTTTTTGACCTCAGCTATGTGGATGTCCATCAGTAAAGATAACGTGGAGGGTACACGGTTTAGGCTTTAACGCTTTCCTGGCTCCATGGTCATCATCCCACACAAGCTAACAAAGGAAACCTTGTGGTTGGTATCTACTATAGGCCACCTGATTAAGAGGATGAGGTCGACGTAAGAAATCAGGCAAGTTAGGCAGGAGATGAGCGTGGCTAACGGCCTTCTCTTCTGCTCGAGCTGAAGCACAAAGTGGAAATGCATAGGTAGTGGAAGCAGGGACACGTATTCTGGGAAGAATCTAAAGATGCCGCCCAGGTCTGTAGGGATGGCATCAGAAAAACTAAGGCAAAGCTGCAGCTGAATTTGGCAGGGGATGTAAAGAATCATACGATGGGCTTCCATGGGTGCGTTGGTCAGAAAATAAGACTAAAGAAAGCGTATGCAACCCACGTGCCCGTCCCCCCGCTGATAAAAAAGCCAGGAGGTCTAGTGGCCAGCAACATGGAGAAGGCTGTGGTACTTGGCGATTCATTTTCCTCTGTTTTCACTGGCACGGTTACCAGACCTCTTGAGACCCTGAACCTCAAGGCAGGGACTTGGGGAACAAAGTCCCTTCCATCAGAGGAAACGATGGTCTCTTTTGAGACCACCCGAGGAACCTGTGGATACACAAGTCCTGCACCTGGGGAGGCACAACCCCATGCACCAGTACATGCTGGAGGCCGATTGGCTGGAAAGCAGCTTTGCAAAATAGGACAATGTGCTCTTGCCTCAAAGGCGGCCAAGGATATCCTTAGCCTGTTATAGAGGAAAGCAGGGTTCATATATGTTACAAGACAGTTGTGTGGACCATTCAAGGTGCTCACTGTCCCCAGGGGTGCAGGGCACCACAGACCACCCTTGGGCAGCTTTGAGGGCACTGCCTACTTTTCTAAAAGCCTCCTATCCAGCTTAACGCAAATCCTACTCTCCTGAGCCCTCAAGCCAGCAGTGCCGAACGCACGCTTTGCATTTTATTTGCTTCCAGGAGACGTGCAGCTTAGAAATGTCTGCAATGGAAGTGGGGCTTTCAGCAAACAATGTAGAGCAACTTCGGTTGTTTTTTCAAAATGTCCTGAGAAGTTAAAGGCAGGCCTGCCCTGGCCAAAGCAGTCGTTGGACTGGAGGGAGCAGCAGCAAAAAGGCACGGGCACCTTTGGGGTGGACTCGATGCGGTAACAAAAAACAAGAAACAGTACTTGTAGCTACTACAGCCTCTTCTGCGACCTCGTAGCCCGCCCTCGGGGTCGCAGCACTACACGGGGCAGATCCCTCCGCGCCCCGCGGGCACCAGGTCGACGAGGGCGGACCCGCCAAGGGGGCGGGGAAAAGCGAAAACGACAGGCGAGACAGCAAATCGAGACGCGGGCCACGATCCGTCGGCCCAATGGGCGCCGCGGAGGGCCCGGCTTAGTGGAGGAAGTGGTCGGGGCGGACACGGGCGTTGTCCTTGGCTGGCGAGAGTGTGGGGGCGCTGGTCTCTGGCCCTGGTGGCAC